GCAATGGTTGTAACATTTCCATAACGATAGATTCCGCCACCGATTGTCCTTCAATCTTTTCCTTACCGCAATATATCTTCAGGCTGTCGCCATCAAAGCATACTTTATAAATTTTCATTCCAAACTTATGCCTTTTTCCTTTTATGTATTGTCGAAAAGACAATCTGTCTCGAAACGGAATCATGGTTTCATCGATGCAAATGGTTTCTTCTGGAACAATGCACAGAGAAGCGTTCTTATTCAACATGTCAACCAGACATGTTGAATAAGAACGCTTCAGAAGACATTGAATTTTGTGAAGCTTATCGTTGAAGGGGCATTCTTCGTTATTTGCTAAATGGAACATGCACAAAAGCAGCTCAAACCTATTTCGAGCCATAAATCGTGATATCTCGTTGTTATACAATGGATTTTTACGCCAATAATCTTTGAGTGATGGCTTTTTATCTAATCCCATCCAAATCAAAATAGCAATAAATGTTCGTATTTCACTAAAGTTGATATCTACCCATGCATGTAAACGTGAATAGTCGCCGAAATTCTCGTTGCTCATGGCTAAAACAATTTGCTGTTCGGCATATATGTTTGTTTCATCAACGATCTTGTTAGCAACATCGAACACAAGCAATTCAAAAAAACGAAGCACTTTTTACCATGCATTTGAGCCTGCAGGACTGGTGAAACGCAAACATTTAGAGGGAAAGTGAACGTCAAAAAATTTCCTGAATTTGGTTCCCACTCTGGCTCTTCAATGCGGCTTCCTGGAGTATCTGTTATTGTGTTAGACTGGGCCGATGTTGATGCTTGAGCCGATGTTGATGGTTTAGCTGAAGTTGATGGTTGCGTTGAATCTAAAAGAAAAATGGACTTTGCAGCATTGCAATACCATATAAAAATACCTCGAAAAATACAGACGTACTGCTAAACGGTGAGAGCAAAAAGTATTTGAAATGGTAAATCGAAACAGTTTTTTTTTGTAGACTTTGATTCAACAAAAAGCTAAAACTATACCATAATCAAAGTTTATGCTATTGGTAATATCTTTTTTACGTACTTGATCGACCTCTACGTTTCGTTTTCCTTCAGAATCGTTCGATGATGTTTCATCTACCGAATATGTTGGATCAAGGTCGGAATTTGAGAAGTCTGAAAATTCATCACTCATGTCAAGTTCTCTCCAAACCTCAATCTCTGCTGCTGCAGTCTTTACCGCTTGTTGCATTTTAAACTGGTTACTGAAACCAGTTGTCGCTGCTGAACGAACGAAAATCGAGTTTGTGCGTGTCCACGTAAGGTACACATGGCGCACGATGTGCAAAACATTAAGTAATGTTCACTCAGGCGCCACGTGTATCATATTAGGACACACTTTTTTCTAAGAAAAAAATTATTGGAGAAAAAAGGTTTTTCAATATTTGTTTATTTTTAAACACTAAAACATCATTTTCATTAAAAAACAAACATGGCCCATGGGACACGGTACATATTTTTTTAAATATTGGGGATGGCAGTTAACGTGTTAAGCAGTCTAACTTAAACTGAGCTTATTTAATGACTCTGTTATTTGACAGAAATAAATGAACCAAAATTTAATATATGCAGTACTTTAGGCATCGACTTAGTCACTAAAATGTTTTAAATGGTAACAATTTTAATTTTTTTTGCATATTAAATAACAATTATAGTTCAAATCATTCTTCTTTACTAGTGTTTCAGATATCTGTTCAAACTCGGGAGTTTCATCTTGTAGTTTATAGAGAAGTACACATCCTGTAAAGTAACGCACTCTATTAACTCAATATTTGGGAACGTAACCTCACATTTCGTTTGGCCAACTGTGATACTATCATTCAAGCCAATTTTTGCAAAATACCTGTAACAATATATCATCTGACTTCTAACTGCCAATGTATAAGGAAGAGTTTTACGTGATCTAATAATATGAGCATTGGTTTTTAGTTCTTTGTGTTTTGCTTCAAATCTCATTGAAGATAAGTGACGTATTGGACCAACTTTCTCAATAATACGTTTGTAATGCAATAAAAAGTGATGCTTAGGTTATAAACATTCATTAAATAGTTTTTTATAATTTTCGTTGTGGTACTGAACAAGTTGATCAATTAGCGATTAGCGATATTCACCTCCAGGTTCATCTTTATAATATTAATATATACATATAATATATACATATAATTAAAGTTGATCAATGGTATGTAACTGTTCATTGGAAATTTCTGAAGCTGAGAAGTTAAGTCAAATAAAAGTTCCAAATAAGATCACTTTCAGGAACTAGATCACCAACAATAAATCTGAAATTCTTAACAAACAAGGACATTTCAGTAGCTGAAAATACTAGTTTTAGACCTTTTAAAAATTCTGCTTTTATGTTTCTTTCAAAGTGTTCATATTGCCCAAATTTAACACGCGCATTTAAAGTAGATAACGTAAAATACTTTTTCTGTAATAAACTAGTACTAATATGTGCCATATCATACCTGTGTACACCTTCGTATAAATCATGCATTATGTCGCAAGTAATGTTGAAAATTTGGTAAAATATTCCATACACATTTTTCCTTAACTCCATACAATATATTGGCAACATATATTGGTATATTATTGGTAACATGTAGATCATAAAACTCTAGGCGTTTAACTTTTTCCGTATCTTCTCTGCATTGTTGCTGAAGTAGTTCCTTACTGGTAATACAAAAACAGCAAAAGTAAGTTGAAAAAAAACTTTCTGTTAAACCTAGAATAGAATGAAGACCTAAATTGTCACCTGCTAAAGATATCATAGAGAAGTACACTCTTACTTGTATGTTATCGACAGATATCAATAATCCATTAGTTTCTAAATCCTTTAGTAGCAATAGTGTAATATATTACGCCCAGCTTATACTGGCCAGCATGACTTCCTAAAGCATTTCCTACCTCGAAATCATCAAAATATATTATTAATGGTAAAACAACTTTATCACATCTTACCATATTTTTCCAGATCTCTCCATTTATAATACTACACATTTTATCTGATTGTTTACTTATTTCGTTATTTAGCTTTAATTGATCCTGCAAGCTAATAAAAGACATTCTTGATTCTTTTAACGTAAGAGATACTTTACCATTTATTATACATTTAAATACATTTATTATTTATATATACGACATTCTTTTGTTCCAAGATGGAACTGCTGAGGTGTTATATACATTCCAGACGATTTATAACTTTTTAAACTTTTATACTCAGAATCTAATCTATTAAATGATGTTTTCAATAAATGTAACATACACTTTATTTTGTCCACATTATCATTGTTTCCAGCTATATCTAAAATCATATCTATTACACCTGATGCAAAGAATGATTGTATATTTGGTGGTAATAAATGCAATAATATATTGATTTCAATTGCTGTTTTCGGCTTAAAAAAACTTAATTACATGTTTTTAAAATTTTGTTTTAAAACGCTTATATTAGCCTACCAACCATACAAAACAAGCTCACGTAAGCGTGGGCTCTCTATATTATCATGTCCCGTAACGATTGAACAATAGTTAACCAGCGTATTCTCTGATCGAAAATAGACAAAAAAGTCTAATAAACATAGGTCCGAAAATGGGCCATTTTCGAGATATTCAAAGTTTTAGTTTCATAAGTTGACCTATTACTTAATCTGTTGTTAACATCATTAATTGTAACGATTTAGATGCAGTAATTATACGATTACCATGGTTACGATGGTTAAGATAAAGTTTAATAAATAATAAGTTAATATTAAGTTAATTAATAATTTAACAAAACAAATAACAAAGATTATCGAAGAAAATCTTTCAACCAGCATAAAAACAACGAATATTTAACAAAGTGGAAAAGAATCATTTCATAATAAATGTTCAATATGCGCACCATTTACTTCTAAACACAAACGGATACGTTTTTTAAATGAACTTCTAATGCGTTCAAAGATACCAGGAATTTGTTTTACTGCGTCAAATGCATTACTAATTTTATTTTTCAAATCCTGCACATTTTGAACGTCTTCAGAATAGACTATTATAAAATAATACTATATGGCCCACCCACAAAAAAAAACCCTTTTTTCGCCATCATTTTCTGTTAGAGCTTGAACGGTGTTGTGATTTTTTTATGTGGGTATTTTTTTATTTTATTTGAACAAGAGAACAACAACGGGACGATCCCAATAAAGTTGTTCCACATTATACATTTATAAAGTACAACTAAAAAAAAATCCTAATTTCTAAAACAAGCTTAAGGACAGAGCATTAAGACATTACAATTATAGCGATACGGCAGGTGAAGATATAATAGGTCCGTACAGCTACATCCCCCATTCAAAATATCAGCATTTTGATACTGCCATAATTGTGTACTATTTACGTACTGATTTTGTACTACATTAAAAAATTTTGTACTAATCATTCAGTACTTTTTTTATATATGTCAAAGTGTGGGGTGTAGCTGAACGATCAGTTACATCCCCCCCTCCATATACAACCTCCCTTTCAAGATATCAGCATTTTGTTAGTGCCATAATTTTGTACTATTTATATACTAATTTTATACTACATTACAAAATTTTGTACTAATCATTTAGTATATTTTTTATATATATCAAAGTGGGGGGTGTAGCTGAACGTTCAGTTACACCCCTCTTTTAAGACATCAGCATTTTGATGGTACCATCGTTTTGTGCTATTTATGTACTGATTTTGTACGGCATTAAAAATTTTTGTACTAATTATTTAGTATATTTTTTATATATATCAAAGTGGGGGGTGTAGCTGGACGTCCAGTTACACCCCCCTTTTAAGATATCAGCATTTTCATAGTACCATAATTTAGTGCTATTTATGTACTAATTTTGTACTATGTTAAAATTTTCGGTACTAATCATTTAGTATTTTTTCTATACAATTGTCCCAACTTTTTGGTACCCCCTTTTTTCTTTTAAACTATAACTACCACAGATTTGTTATTTGGCACATCGATACAGGACAAAAAAGTTTACTTTATGAAGTTAGTGTTGTTACTATATCACTTCCGGTTAGACCGGAAGTAGATGATTTATAAATTGAGGCGGTAAGAAGCAAAGGGATGTAAGTGCAAATTTAGCGATGTCGAGAAAAAGGCTCTCAAAGTTAAAGTCTTACAGAAAAATCAAGGACTACCGAAAATTAGAAAAATATTTTTTTTACTTTTCTGATGTATCTTATTAACTGTTTTTAAACTTTTGAAATATTTCAATTTATTCATTAGTACTAAAAATACAGGGAGTAAAGTAAAGGGACGTTACTACTTACACCCCTTTGCATCCGAATATGTAACTTACATCTCTTTTGTACTTAATGATAAGACTTTTTTTAGCATTTTGTTTACCTTATCCAAGTGATTTTGGAAAAGGGCCACAGGAAAAACATTTAAGATCCAAACTAATAGTTTTATTGATTATTACAGGTAGAGTATACAAAGGTTTCAATGAAAAAATGTTTGGTTATTTTTACTCATCATCGGACTCCCACTCAGTAGCAATATCTTCAGAATTTTCTGCGACTGTACGTCCTCGCCTGGTATCTGTATCTTGTATTTTCCTGTTTCCGTTTATTGTCGTTGAAGCAATATTTTTTGTAGTAGCATTTCCTTGGTGCTTTAGTGTTGTATAAAAGTTATGGTAGATGGGTGGTATAAAAGGAAGAAGTTGTTGAAGGTTTTCATATTTTGCTGTCTTTATAAGTGGTGGTGTAGGGTACAATAAGCTAAGTTCATAATGAGCATTTGGACGGCCCTTTTTCTGCTTTCTTAGATCAAATTCAACAAAGTCCATGTCCTCAAAGTTGTTCTTGTATAAAAGAGTATCCGGTTTATCTTTCTCCAGTCGGAACCATTGAACATTGCGTAACCCTCGAATAGAGTCCTTTATGCTTTTTTTCATAGGTTGAACTGACATAAAGCTTTCAATGGCCATTCTTACAACTGTAAACTTCCGGCTTGCATGAGCCACTACGTTGAACCAGTCATCCGGAACAAAAATATATTGGTTTTTCTTTTTGGACTTTTCAATAATCCCGAAGTGTTGATCGCATTCCATGTAAGAGTGCCCAGAAATCAAAAATTTATGGTCTATTCTCTGAATAGATGTTGTCTGAACAATATGCCTGCAAAATTTAATAATGTTGTTATTTTTGTTTTGGCCGCCTGCGTTATCGCTAAATGCTATAAGATGTTCTATTGAATTAGGTAGTTGTTGAACATACCTAATTAGGCACGACCCGATTTCTTGGGATCCCCTCGATGCCTCACCTTCGTGCCACATAAACATTGAGGCTTGATTATTAGCAAGATCATGCACTGCAAAATTGTACGTCCACAGTTGCCTGAGATAGTAAACTTTACTGCAGGTTAGTACAGGTGTGGGGAGAGTTTTTTCAAGATCGAAACATATTGCTTTTACAGTAGTTGCGTTATCCTTGGCAAGTTTCTTGGCATCATCTTTTTCTGATCTAGCTTTCTCCGCTTTACGTAAATGAACATCTTTCTGGATTTTACTATTTTTCACCACCTCGGCATTAGGATCGTTATTTATTTTGTTTTCAAGTGCATCGCATGTTGTACACGTATCAGTGTGAGGCCGTTTAAAACTGAGATTGAATTGCGTTGTAAAAATGAATCTATAAAAACTCTCCTTAACAGTATGTTGAATACTATTTTCATGGCAAAACTCCAAAAAAAGTGTATACATTTTGTGAATATTCAGTTCGCCTGAGAGATATTTTGTCTGTGGATTTTTGTTTCGTGAATAATGGCTTGAATATTTCGGGAATGACCGAATATGGGCCTTTATTACTCCAATATCATGTTCTGAAATCTTATTTGCTGGTATGTGTCTACCACGTTGGTCAGTTGGAGCTACACCTGAAGGTTTTCTGTTCTTTAAAACATTGTCATACCTTTTTTGGCTTATGTTCAAAGTTTTTAACACAAATAGTTTGCAAACTCTTTTACCCTGTAGTTTTATTTTGACGCTAACCTGTTTGCATAAAGGAATTTAAAAATGCCGTTTGTAGATTCCATGAACCCAAATTCCAATAGTCTTGAAAGATTTGTTGATGGTCTTCATCCGAAAAACTACTACAATCATATCGATGGCCTGCTAGCTGTTGAACGCTTTTAGACTCCTTAAACACTTTCCTATGACCAATATATTCGCCGCCACTATTCCTGCACTTCTTTGCTTTGTTCCGTGCCCAAGAAGATTCATTTCTGATCCTTTTTCTGCTTCTGTTCATCTGCTGGTTGCCGACGTCTGCTTCAGCTTCAGATGTAGAAGTCCGTACATCTTCTGGGACATAATCACGATCTAGATCACTATCGTCAAGAGATTCTGCACATAAAACAAACAGTAAATAATTTTTATAAATTGAAGATTAATATTGGGACTGTAAAAAATAATATAGAAAACCATATCAAAATTTCATAACCTCAATATAATCAAACTCTTAAAAAATGCATTAATTTTCTGTGTACTCACCATCTTCATCAAAATGTTCCATATTCATTTGGCTATTTACGTCCATTAAACTAATCACTAATATTGACTAATTAATACACTGAAAATCATCAATAATACGCATTTATACGGGAGTAAACACACAGTTTAACTGTCTAAATTATTATGAACGGTGACGTTTGGAGGCAGAGGGATATAAGTGCTCATATCGATACCCCAGTACCATACAGTAACAAGTCAAAATTTAAAGTTTTGAGATAACTACTATTTGAAAATTCAGGTGACATAAAAATACCGATAGTCTAATTATCCTCGATTTTAATTAACTTCTGAACTGGCTCATAACCATTGAATCACTTGATACATTTGTGAGTATTGTCCAATAAAAAAGAAAATTACCTGATTACCGTAAAAACAGAAGTTTGATATTAGTTGTTACGTTATTGAATTAAATATGGTAATGTAATAAAAATATATATTGCAACAAGTATAGAAATAATTCATAAAAAAGATAAGAACGCATTTATTATGAGTTATATCAAAAATACAAATATTTTATAAAAAATACTTAATTTGGAGAACAATATATTCATGAAATATAAAATTATTCATCCTCGGACTCTGTCTCAGATTTGCTGGTGTTTGAAGTCATTAAACTTTCATAAAAGGGCCAGTGTACACTTTTGACAGCATTTTCGGCGCACAATTCCATTAAATTCTTGTTTTTCTCCAAAGAAATTGTGGGAGGATTTGTATAAGCTGGAGTGAGGTCCAAGACATTCCTGTTATTTCGCAATCTCAGACTTTTTCGCACCTGAAATTTTTGGAATGATTCTTGTCCATAAGATGTCTTGTATTGAATTGTAAAATATTCTTCCTTTTCTACTCTAAATACTTTGATATCCTTCCAATTTACTTTTTCTTTATCAGTGTTTATGTTGTAATTATTTCCAATTTTTTTCGATAGGGTTTTAAAATCAATTTTATCTGTTGTCGAAATTTCATCAACTGCGTAAGGGGTACCTTGCTTTTTAGCACTAGCAACAACGACACTCCATTGGGACGGCACGTAAATGGGTCCACTTTTCAGCATTCTTTTTTTTTCTTTTTCTATGGCAGCATGCATGCTGTCCCCCTCATTTTGAGTATGGCCAACGACGAGAAATTTATGAGAAATAGATTTTATTTTCTCGATGCTTTGAATGCAATATAAATACATCCCAATTACAAATTTATTTTTATTTTGACCAGTACAGTTGTCTGAGTAAAACACCAAGTTTTCATTTTTTGAGGATAAGGAAATAAATTTGTACACGCAGCTTGCAATCTCATTAGCCCCCCTTCTTGCGACACCTTCGTGCCATAAATAGCAGTATCCTTTCTTTTTCTTGACGTCAAATAGTGTAAAATTGTAGGTGGCTAATTTTCTCTTGTAGTAGAAACTATTTACATCTCCTCAGGGCGTCGACAGTACCGCTTGTAGGTCATAACAGTAAACTTCCACATTTTTATTTTCGATGTCACTTGCTCTTTCCTGTCTACTAAGTTCATTTTCTCTAAGATGATCTTCAAATTTCTGTTTAATAAGTTTTTTAGTCTCTTCGCTCCCATTTTTGTAGTTTTCACATAAACTGCATTGGTCCTTTTTGGGGATATGAAATCCTATGTTTGTTTCAGTATTTAAGACTTGCGCATACACCCAATGTTTAGCATACTGTTTCTGTTTTTTAACGCAGTCTTCGACGTACAGTCTGTACATAGTACTGATATTTAAACTTCCGTCCAAGTATTCTTATTGGTCCGCGCTCGACAATAATGAGAACTCACACGGGGAAAAGAATTTATATGCGTCCTAATATCGTCCTTTATATCCTCCCGTATTGCTTTATCACTTTTACGTTTTCCTCTTTGGTCTTTGTTTATGCCTCCTTGCACATTTCTTTTCTTAATCGTGGTAAAAATTATTCTATTGTTTATGGCCAAAGTATTTTTGAAGAATGTTTTACATACTTGGATATGGCGTTCAATTGAAAATGTATATCTCACATTTTTTGAGCGATTGCTACCAGGTTTAGAAGCTCGATACTCAGGATTTATGCAATCAGACATACATTTATTCAGGAAAGACCTTTGCTGCTCGATATCACCCAATCTCCAATAATATTCAAATAAATTCTTTCTCTCTTCTTCTGTAATATTAGAGCGACACTTTAGTCTACACTTTTCTGAACAGGGATCTTTCATTTTCTTTGCAACAACGTTTTTTCCCTTTGTACTAACATATTCTTGTCCAGTATTTCTTCTCTTCTTCCGGGTATTTTTTTCCCAAGATTCGGGATTTCTCGTTCGTTTTCTTGTTAATTTTTTCTTTGGCTTAGTATTGTTATCGGCTGGGTCTGTGATTTCCTGTTCACTTTCTATTATCGTATTTTGATTTTCCATATTCATATCTTCATGATTTACCTCCCCTAAAATAGATTCTTCATCACATTCAGACAACGTATCAGAAGGACAGTAATTTTTGTCTTTGATACTATCGTCACTATCAAAATCGGTATTAACAGTCGTGTTCAAATTTTCTCCGACTGGGTCTTCTTCTTCATACACATTATCTTGTTTATTTTTACTTACATCTGTTTCAAAACTTTCTTCAATTACAACCTTGTCTTTTCTTTCATCCACATCATAATATGTTATGTCTTGATTTAGTATGACAGGTGGTGAACATGTCTCCTGATTCTAAAAGAAATTCAATAAAATTTCTTGGAGGAAATATTAGATTGTTAAAAATTATTTTATGTTTGTTTTAAACTTTGACAGAAAAGTCAAACAAGTAAGACTGAGAATAACTTGTAAATGAGTAGGTAAATGTAGAGTAGGTAATGATTTGCTCAACTTATACCTTTGGTTTAAGAATTATAAATTTTTTGACACTTTTGTGCGCATGCGCCCGTCTGTTTGGTACCGTTTTATGTCTATCTTTGTTACACTTTCACATTATCGCTTTCCATCTGCGTCTATTCACCTTGAGCCACATTTTTGTTAGTAGATATATTCAGTTAACTCCAGTTTTAATAAAAACTTTATTAACTTTTTTTTACAGTATAACAAAATGTGCGGAACAATAAACTTGGATTTAACTTCACGTTCTTCCGCAATTAAATCGTCAATTTCTGTGTAATCTCCATTGTCGTGGAAAATAATTGACATGTAATGACACACGTCATAACTCAGATCCACATTTTCATCATAGCTCGGTACACAAATATAATTTACAAATCCCTCTAGGTGGAAATCTTCACCTTAGAACGATATCTTACAGCTTATATCGTGTATATTTTTCCGTTTAAGGCTGGACCCCTCTGTGTAAATGTCAATAATTAAGTACGGACTTAAAATCGACGCTTCGAAAACTTCGACGTTTTTAAAATAAATTATTTTATTTATTGCTGTAGCTATAGGCACTTTCCATAAATTTTGAGTTTTTCCTAAAAATAGTAGATTTTCAATGAGATTGTACAGTTTTCACCGGAACAAAAATAAATATACACGTTCAATTTATATCTAAAAATTTATTTTCGAACTTATAAACATGTCATTCAATAAAACTAATCTTTGTTATATTATCGTAAACAATTATTAATTATTATATTGTGTTAATTAATTAGTTAATACTGTAATAACAATTAATTCGTTTGTTATTCAATTTCTTCTTCTTCCACACTCTCATCCTTGTCTTCACCTACACGTGGAATTTTTGGAACGAAGATTTTTGTAAAAAGCATGATACATTGACGGTATTTTCCCAGTCTCACAAAGCCACAATAGACCTGTTAATTTTTTCCCATCAATAGGTAGAAACTGTCGTATAATTTAGGTGGGTGATTGTTGGCAATATTAATAGGACGTCCCCTGCGGATTTTATTAACGTCACAAGTTTTGAGATCGGAATTAAAATCATATTTAAAAGATGCAGTTCTAGGCGTTTCATGAGAAAAATTAATTTCTTTTATCCGGCTAATTTGAACGGGATTTTTCTCGGTATCAGTTTTCCAGTTTTGGTTAGCAGCAACAGCTTTGAAATCGAAAAAATCGTCTTGCGACATTTCAGTGACATTATAAACTTTTCCCGTAGTCTTAGCCATTCTAATCAGTGTAATCCATTGCTCTGGGACATAAATAACGGACTGACGCTTTTTGGCATTTTCGATAACTGCGTGCATACTATCCCCCTCGTTTTGCGTATGGCCTTTTTCGAAAAATCTATGCGTTATTTTTATTTGAAATTTTGTAGCAGCATACATAAACATTGAAAACACTACGTGGTTCCTATTCTGTCCACCGCAGTTGTCGGAATAGAGTATTACAGTTTCAATCCCTTTACTTTTTTGCAGTTCTAAGAAGTTCCAAAGGCAGCTGGCAATTTCATTTGAACCTCTTTTGGCTATCTCTTCATGCCAAACATAGCAATATCCATCATTGCGGCCTATGTCGTAAATGGTAAAATTGTATGTAGCATACTTACTTTTATAATAGAAATCGCTTACATTAGATTGCGGAGTTGCTAAAACTTTCTGTAAATCAAAGCACGCTACACACAGATTTTTATCGTTTTGTGCCCGTTCTTTGTCAGCATTTTTCAAATCTCTGACTAGTATTTTATTGTTTATGTGGCGTTCGTATGTTTCAAGTAGTTTAGTTTTTTCAAACTCATCAGCTAAATTAAAGACTGAGCACACATCGCATTGATCTTGTTTGGGTTTGAAAAAGCCAATATTAAACTCCGTGTTAAAAATGTCCCTGTACTGACGACAAGTAGCACGCTGAGTAATATTATTATTGTCAGCATATTCTATGTACAATCTAAACATTTTTTGAACACTCAGCCCTTCCTCGAGGTACATTCTCTTCGAGTCTTTTCGAATATAGTACGATGGCACCAAAGGAAACATTTTTATATGATTTCTAACACTTTCTATAACACGTGCGAAAATCTTTTGTGGACGTGTAGTATGTGTTCCACGCATATCTGCCTGTATAGTTCCACCCTCCGTAATTCTTCCTAAAGCGGTATTTACCCAAGTCTGAGAAATGCCTAGGGTATTTACAAACATAACTTTACAAATTTGTATTTGTTCACTACCAACATGAAAATAATATTGACGAGAGTAATTTCTTCGTGAATCTTGCCCACTAGCTACAGTATGTTGTTTCTTATCAGCTTGTTTTACATGCCGTGCTATAAATTCCCACTGCCTTGTATGATCTAGCAGATCCCAAAATTCTTTAAAAACTACTAGTCTATGTTCTTCACTTATCCTCGACTTGCATTTGAGCCTACCTTTTCTTTGCATGGTTCAGCTATGGATCTCGCTTTGATAGGCTTTCCTTTTCGATTGAAGTGTTCTAGTCCACGATTCAGGGATGCTTTCGATTTTACGTCGATCCATTCTTTAACATTTCTTAAACGTTTCTTACCTACTTTTTCCTTGCGTATCGCTTTTCTTTTATTTTTAGGCATAGCTGTTGGTACCTTAGGTTCTTCATCTTTAAAAGGGGTTTTTTCTTTATTCGATAGTGAGTAATTTGGATCAAGGTCAGAGCTAGTATCAAAAGGATCGTCCACATCCAAGCTGTCATCACTATGGGATTGAACTTTAAATACTGCATCTGTTGTATTTTCATTAGCAGTACTAATTCCTGTAAAATAAATAAATGACAGCATAAGTGAATAAAGACATATTTTATTAACGAAACAGACGACGGGCTTTCGTATGAATAATTTTTGTGAGTTAATAAAATATTTTTATTGAAAAGTATTACAAGCAATTTTTCCAATTTTTATGATTTGTATTTTTAGAAAATGAAATGTCAAAAATTTACATCAAAAATTTGCCAACTCGACTTGTCTGGTATTGTACACTAGTGGATAAAATGTTTATGCTTTATTCACCAGTGGTTAAAATGTGACTTTATTACAGAAATTTTGGTAATTAAAATAGCTTTACACAATATAGGTATTGAAAAAATTATGTTTCTCTTATTATATTAAAATATAACAAACCTGGAGATCTCGTCAAGCCAGAAATATTGGTTTCACTTGCACCAGTATTGTTAGAACTATTTTCTGAAAGCAAAATATGATTAATTATTAATTAATTCATTTAGATTTAAAATATTTGAGTCCTAACCTGTTGAACACTCTGCAATAGCAGAGACCCAGAGACTTGTGTGTTGTAAGCCTCTTTCGCTAAATCCAAAATTTTGTGGATTCTACGTGACATTTTCACTTTATAACTAACACTTTATTACAACCCGATTTATAGTTTCCATGTGGATATAAAGTTAACGTTTACGTTAAGCCCGTGTTTGTAAGCAACTGAACAATAACAGAGTCACTTAATCTCAACAAACACTGTTCTATCACCGCCGAAAACTGTACTAACTCAAGATAGAACAGTCTTCAGCGGAGAATTTTAGTTGCTTCTGAGATAGTACAGTTTGAAAATGTAAAGTGGATTGCATAATTAACAGCAACGTAAGTTAGTACTTTGTTCGTCGGAAGACCTCTTGAAAATAAATGTTTTAGGCAATGTAACTCAAATAACCAAAAATTTGAGTTAGTACAGTCTTCGTTGGAAGCGTCGAAATTATGTGATGTATTATGTAAGCCATACACGCTACGATCTACCGGAGAGGTCATCTGTGCAGGTATGCCTGCGCAGGTCAACCAAACATTGGTAGCGTGTATTTGGACGTTCCGGTGTACCGGAGCGGTCTTCAGTTCTTTTTGCGATGGCATCGAATGAGGACGATGACGCGCTGGCATTGCTAGGCCTTGCTTTAATTTTGAAGATAAAAGATACAAAAACAGTGAAAAGGAAGCGAAAAAATTGGTGTAAGGGTCGTTCTCAAAACGGCAAAAAAAGTGTCCCTCTAATATCATATCTTATAAACGTAACAAATTACATTCATTCGAGCAAAAAGCAATGTAGTGAGACTCATTAGTATCTCTTCATTAAGTTACATCAAAGTAACAAATATTTTATGTACGCAAAACTTAAAAATTTGTAAAAATTGGTTTGCACTTTATTAATGCAATAAATTAAACTGATTGGTGTCCCTCTGGTAAAATTACAACTAAAACTACTTCTAAATCGGAAATAAAATAGTATTATATTATTTTATTACAGTTTTTTTTTATTTGGGATAATTAACAAATAGATTTGAGGATGGTTTGCAATTTCTTATAGATTTCGATTTTAAATTAATCTCGGAAATATTGTGTCCCTCGTTTTAATCTCAACTCCGTTACCACATCTTCTAATATAAATATTCGTGTCGTCATGGTTACCCGGCTCATTGTAAACACTGCAGAGGGAAGTTGATATTAGTACGACACTATAACTGTCAAAAAATATTAAATTGACACGCTGAATATATTCAAGATTTTGATTGATTTCTACAAATATTTTTCTGACCATTCGGATTCTCAACTCCGTTACCTGTCATAAAAAGTAAAGTTTAAGTGATTTCTTACTGTAATTACATTAAGTATATTAATAAAAAATATACGAACACGGTATGCAACTATCAACATAAAATCAAATTCAGTTTAATTTTAAATATTTTTGAAAGCGCGTTTTCTCAACTCCGTGAATTTCAACTCCGTTACTAATGTTAGGCAGGAACATTTACAGTCACATTTAACAGTTATAATGCACTATGTAATTGTAAATATTTTATTTTCAATGTATCCAATACTTAGTCAAGCTAAAAAAAAAATAGAACAGCGCTCAAATGCTATAATTTCCAAATTTATATGCGAAACATTACCAAGCAAAAAAGGCAGCTGCTTTAAAGAACCACAACTCTACACCATCAAGTTCTGTGCTTTTAAGGGCCAAAAATGTAAATAATAAACTCAAAAACAAGGTAAATGTACTCCAGAAAGAAATTGCACAAGCGAAAATACTTATACAAAAGTATAAAAAACGTGAAACTCGGAAGCCTCGTAAATCGGAGATAGAAAGTACTATAAGTAAACAGCGCCCATTGAATAATATTTCCATCAGAAAAACAGTTCGTACATATTTAGAAAAAGACGAAAACAGCGGACTCTGTCCTGGGAAGAAGGACACGATAACATACAAGAAAAACAAAAACGCTACTTGAACGATTCCCTACAGAATTTGCATAGAAAATTTAATAAAATATACTCAAAATTGCGCATCGGTTACTCCACATTTTGTCGAATGAGACCATTTTGGATTTTGCAGCCTACAGCACGCCAAAGAGATACTTGTTTATGTGTTACCCACACTAACATGAATCTTTTGGTGCATAAGCTAGGGATCTTAGACATTATCAAAGAAAACACCCCATCTCAAGTGGTCCAAAAAATGTGCTGTTCAACTGCTAATATATGCAAAAATGAAAAATACCTCGAACGCAAATGCTTCAAGTGCAACAAAAATACAGTGACCGTTCTGCACTACAATAAAAAGGAGTTAATGACATACATGAAATGGGTTAACAAATCGGTATAGGTAGTGGTCAATTGGAAAATAATGTTTTGTAAAAGAACAGTGAAAGAAAAGCAAACAGTAGAGAAACACCAAGCAGTTACAGAATTGATACAATCTATTCCGAGATATATGTTGCACCTCAGGAATATATCTCATCAATATCGGTGTATAAATGCAGTGAAAAAGAATCTGTCTGTTGATGAAATCTTGATCCATATGGATTTTTCTGAAAATTACTGTTGTAAATATAACCTAAGACATATATAACCTATAAAAGTAATTACACAAATTTATTACTTGTAAACCCTTTTTCCAACCTTTCTGAGAATGACCCGTAAGCATTGGTTATTGAAAAGGAAAACATATAGTCATGTTAATTTATTGAATGAATTAAAATTTGAACAGGAAGATTTTAAAAACTATCTCCGAATGGACGAGAAATCATACCTTAAATTACTTGAAATGGTTACTCCTATTATAAAAAAAGAAGACACAGTTATGAGAAATAGTATTTCTGCGCACGAAAGATTATCAGTTACATTGAGATTTCTCGCAACTGGCGGAAGCTATGAGGACCTTAAATTTTCAGCAATTATTTCGCCTCAGGCGCTTGGAAAAATTATTCCTGAAACATGTGAGGCCTTGTATAAAGTTCTTAGAAGAGATTATTTGAAGGTAAGTCATTAAAACACTGTTATATTACAGATAATATTTATTGAAAAAAATACCATTTTAATTTTAATCATTAAAGTACAAACCTGTTGCGTACAAATTATTTATTATCAACATTGAAATTATTTAGGAATGTCGCTGCCGAATCTGGAATCGATAAAACTACCTCTGTTTCACCGGGCTGATTTCCCGGAATTGTAGGTGTTCGCATTTGTGTAGAGTAGGGATTGCATTGGGAACTGTTGAGTAGATGGCTAGTTTGAAATGATTGAGAAAGATACTCTGAATTTTGACTGGTGGGAAATTGAAGGCAGGGTGCGCTAGGACTTCCGGAAGAAACAAAACTTACAGGGGTATATGCCCTATTGGAATTAGGAGAGGATTGATATACATGTTGTCGATATTGCTGAGCAGGAACATAGCTTCGTTGATTTTGTTTCAAAATATCTCTCATGTTAATATAGGCATGCTCGGGAGTGAGGTGTCCTATTTCTGCTTCAAAAAGTAAATCATTAATAAGTTTTTCTGCGACTATTTTTTGTTTCGCATCTAAAACCCTCAATTTCATTGCCACATTTTTGCCAATAATATCGCACCTATCTTCTGTTACAATTGGGCAAGTGATCTCGTACCGATTCCAATACTTCATTTGCTATGCTTTCATCTTTTATTTTTGTTTTACAAGGTTTTGGTGGGCGAGATGAATTATAATTTGACGATGTCGGTCGGGCCTCGTTGTGTTGTTTCTCTGAAAACAAATAATTTTGATACATGTTTTTGTCCTGCCGCTATAGATATTTCACATCAAAAATAGCTACTTATTGTATAAATGATAAATCTGTTATTTTTATATTACAGTTTCCTACATCTGAAGAAGAGTGGAAAGAAATAGCAAAGATGTATGAAGAACGATGGAACTTTCCTCATTGTCTTGGTGCAATAGATGGAAAGCACATAGCGATTGTTCCACCGGCTAATAGTGGATCGTATTTTTATAATTATAAAGGGCAACATAGTGTGGTTCTTATGGCAATTGTTAATGCAAAATATCAATTTGTGTACACAGACATTGGCATGAATGGTAGAATATCCGACGTTCTACAAAACACTAAATTTTTTGAAAAATTAGAAAATAGTGATTTACATATTCCAAGCAGTGAATTGTTAACAGGAAGTAACCGAAATTTACCATATGTATTTGTGGCAGATGACGCGTTCCCATTACGCCCCGATATGATAAAACCGTTTCGGCAGGCAGATTTAACATCTCGAGAAAGAAAAATCCTGAATTACAGATTATCTCGCGCGAGGCGCACTGTTGAAAACGCTTTCGGAATAATGGCATCACGATTTCGGATATTTTATACTCATATAAATTTAGAACCCGAAAATATCGATAAAGTAGTGAAAGCCTCTTGTGTATTACATAACTTTTTAATTGAACACTCAAAAAAAGTCTTATGCACCTCAAAAATGTTTTTATCGAGAAAACTCTGAAAACGGGACTATAATTTCTGAAGGATACAATGCACAAAATAGTACCATGGAAAACTTGGAAAGAAGAAACCCAGGAAATACTTTGAACAACGCGAAGATAGTCCGAAACAATTTTATGAATTATTTCAATCAGGAGGGAAGGGTACCATGGCAAAATGATCATGTAAATTAAAAAATTATGCTGAACAGGCGGAGTAGGTAGTTCTAAATACATAGTTATTAGTGATGTACCGGATCGTTAAAAATGTATATCCGCGGATACGGATCTTTATTTTCGATGATACGGATACCCGGAACATCACTAATAGTTATATTATAAGCTTTGGTGAAATTTAGAATGACGGTAAATACAAAATAATTGTGTTCTATGTATTCAACTTAATAAAAAATTATACTACAAAGTATGAAATATTTTACTTACCTCACAACTATTTTCGTCATCACTATCTAAGTTGCATGAAGATTCCCTTGGAGTGCATTGATCATGAACGAAATTGAACAAATCGTAGTACCACAGTTTAATACTGTACACATCATCAGCAGATGCCCCAGACTTTAAAGATTGGTCATATTTCTTCTTTTCCTTCCTAACATTGCTTCTTAAATTATTGATCTTTTTCACAACTACATCTTTGTTCGCATCTGGCTCAATTTCTCTAAATTTTTCTATGAGTAACTTATAAGCAGCTTGTTTGCAGCTGTATTACGTGGCAATACGATGCGAGCGACGAGACAACCGTTCGAAAGAAACACTAGAAAACAACTGACGCGACCTGCGCAGGCGACCGGAGTACACGCACAGGTACACCGGACGGTGTCACTCGAAAGAATTGATTTTCGATCTTGCTCCGGTCGCCTGCGCAGGCATACCTGCACAGGTGGACCTTTCCGATGGACCGTAGCATGTATGGCCGGTATTAGAAGGATATAATTGAAAATGGTCTCAGTTGTATTTTAGAGGTTATTGAGCAAACAAAAATTGCGAGCCTTGCTTTAACAAGACACTTACCGCAATATGCAATTTTACTTGCAGCATTTTTGCCGCATTGCACACAAGGAAACCTTTTTTCTTCACAAATTTTTCCATACAAGATTTTTCTAAAAATTTTATACTGTCGGTGTTCACAGCTAAACTTTGTATTGGAAACCAATTGCAGCCCATACAATGTCGCTTTTCCATGAGAAGCGGATTTCCCTTAAATAAAAATGGTACAAGCTCACCCACCGAAAATTCACATTTTAAAATGGTCGTTTCGCCTACCACTCTTTGATTCTTTTCAGGCATTATATCTTCAAAATTTTTGTCCTTGTAGAATATGTGTTGGACACAATACCTTAAATATACGGATATAAATCAGTAAGTTAATCATTACAGTATTTTTTATTGTGTGATATCTTTAATAGTTATTTATGTATCAATGCATTAAAGCCGGTCTTTTTTAAGCTGTAATAAAGGCACGTGATTATTAAAAAAACGTGTATTGTTATACAAACGTGCCATTAATTATTTATTTATCGGATTTAATGCCTTAATACATAAATAACTACTTAGTATAGATTGCAGAAATATTATATTATTACGGTAGTTGAATTGAGACTAGTCATGTTAGCTCAAGTCACTGAGTTAGTCTATACACTCTATAGGCTTGTCCCAACATGCGAAAAAAATAGTTCCAGAAACCGAATTGCTATTATATTTAATTCTAAAACCGTTTTTGAGCGGTTTTCTGGCTTGTTGGGACAAACCTGATGTCTACTGAAAAGTTCTTTACCATTGTTATACAATTTAATCAAGTATTTGAAATAATTGCAATTATCCCAACTTTCAACAATTCCTCTGGTATGTTCATTTCTCAATGACTTTAAAAACAACTGACTGACAGAATCATATGCGCAAGTGTTGTGTACACTAAAATTTCTGCCATCACTTTGAGATTGTTTTAGCGTTAAACAATTCGCGTTTTTTAAAATTTCTCCTTCCTCTTTCCATGGAATGAAAAATCGCTACATTTAAATCTGTGGTAGTTATAGTTTAAGAGAAAAAAGGGGGTACCAAACAGATGGGACAATTGTACAAAAAAAAATACTAAATGACTAGTACCCAAAATTTTAACATAGTACAAAATTAGTACATAAATAGCATTAAATTATGGCACTATGAAAATGCTGATATCTTAAAAGGGGGGTGTAACTGGACGTCCAGCTACACCCCCCACTTTGATATATGTATATAAAAAATATACTAAATGATTAGTACAAAAATTTTTAATGCCATACAAAATTAGTACATAAATAGCACAAAACGATGGTACCATCAAAATGCTGATATCTTAAAAGGGGATGTAACTGAACGTTAAGCTACACCCGCCACTTTGATATATACTTTCGATTTTAGAAAGATTGTGTTTGTTTCAAAAATAAGATTTTTATTATTCACTTAAAACAATTGGTTTTACAAAGTTTGTTATTTAATTGATTAATTATAAGTTTTAAAGATTATAAAATTTTATGTATAATAACTAAGACGTACGATGTGGAGCGCGACCGGTTACTATATATATTTCTTAATAAACGGTTCACTCCTTTTATATGTTTCTGGTTATCTTGTCTCCTTTCCAGGAATCCATCGTTTATTCTTCGGGTGGATTCCTATTCACACCTCGTAACACCTGCCCCCTTAAGTGGAAGGCTGCAGCCGAGGGTGGCGAAGTCCTTCAGCTTCTGTTGATTCCTCCCTCGGTTGGATTGGTTTTAACCTTTTCCAATATCTTTTCATGATGCAGAAACTGATAATTATTACTAAAACACAAAGCAAAATTATAGGTGTCCCTATTGAGGTAAAGTTTTTAAAGGTGTTTATCGCCTGTATTTCTTCTTGTAATGATATCAGTTGCTCAAGAGTTTCATTAAGTCGGGTAAATGTAATTTGTTCCAATTCGATATCTTGTTCTTTCCAGTGTTCATCGTTACTGTTATTATCAAACTGTTGTATTCGATTGAAAAGTACGATTCTTTCTTCTCCGACAATATCCCTGAATTGTGTAAAAGTAATACTAGAGTCATTCTCCACAACCATCTCATTGTTAAACTAAAATTAGTACTAAAACTAGAACTAACACTAGAAACTTTCGGGTTTTGCCGTGCGTCTTTTAATAAAAGGTTTGACGTTTCGGATGCCATGTTGCAACCTTCTTCAGAAACTGGTTCGAAGTTTTTTTCATTGCTGTCAACACCATCCACGGGTTTCTTCGCTCCCAGACACTTACTGTAATCAATGGCAGAAGCGTTCCACGGATATAATCCGCTGGCTAAAAATCCATTTTTTATGGTTTCACTTATAACACGTTTCCTATATATTCATAAAATAATTCAACCTTCATCTACCCATTGTCGCTATGTCCTATTCCCCAAGTGCTTGGTACTGAATTTACTATGGAAGAAGGTAGTCTCTTATAAGGATAAATGAGCATAGGATTAGTAGTTTGACCGGCAGCCGAGAACGTGAACATGACTGTTATAGTCATTTTTGTTTGACCGGAGTCTACTTAGTAAACATTCTTTGCACCTCGTGGTGCAACTACTTTACAATTTTTTGGGCATAACGAAAAACATGTTTGTTTCATCTCCATTAAATATCCTAGTCGGATCTTGCAAAATATGGTCCAAATTTTTGGTTTTTAAATATTCTTCTACTGAAGAAAACCACTTGCGTATGTCCATTTCCGAAAATGTGGCACTAGCTGCCGTAACTGCCTCTGGTGTCCGATGGGTAAGGTTTGGATGACGCTTAAGGAATGCCCTGTACCAACCGTCCCCAGGTAGGTTGTCCTTAAACGGATTATTCCGTGGATTGGCTACCAAGAATTCCTTGACGGAGGATTGGATGTCGAATTTTCTAACTGGAGATGCCTTTTTTTGGCTTGTCACAATCCATTCCTCTAAGACTGTTTCTTCTTCTTTCGTTAAAACAGTGTCTGGACCCAACCTAGTTTTGCATGTAAACTTATTACTTTTTCTGAATTGAACCGTTTGTCGAGGCACATTGAACAATTGAGCGGCTTTCCTCTGCGACATTCCATCCTTAATAGCTTCTAGTGCAGACTGCAAGTTCTCCTCCGTATACGTTTTTTTATATTTAGCCCCTTCTCGTATCTTGGGCATCTATGCGAAAAACACCTTAAAGTTTATATTTAATTCATCAATTAAAATCTCTGTCAATTAAAATATCCAATAGGTATGTTAGGTATGCCCCATCCCGCCTAAATTAATCAATCATTGTTAGATACAATATTTTGAATAAACATTAATTTCACAGTTATAGGCCGCATGGCCAATGACTAATTTTTTGCAGAAATTGTGTACAGTGATTGGCATCGGACATTAAATAAAATTCATTCGTAAATAAGTAATTTCTACCACAGAGTTACGATCTTTAAACATATTAAAACACAAATAAATCGATACTATCATGTAAAACAACATACCTTGTAATTAATCCTCAACTATAGAAGGGTAGGTCTTAATGTAACTTGGGAAGATTTCGCTAAATTTCCATTTTAGATGGACACCATCTCACAACAACTTCTATAATTTTTTAAGGTTATGTAACGGAACGGAGCAGTTTGAAATACGAATTCACCATAGTTGCCACTACTAATAAGAAATACCCTGAGCGTAGAATATATTTGCAAGAATTAAAAATTCTCGAAGTATTACAACTATGCCAATAACCGTCGTTGGCCAATCTCTGTACAGTTTACCCTATCTGTCCTCCATTTTTTTCATTCAATTTTCGGTAATCTATTACCATACGATGTTTTAATCTACCGTCTTTCTGTGTAGTCATAATGTGTACGGGGGCGGACCACGGAGATATACTTTTCTCTATGATATCTGGTTTCAGAAGGTCCGAGACTTGCTTCTTAATTTCTTTTCTTATCACCATTGGTTGTCGGTATCGTTTTACAAACACGGGTTCATTATCTTTCATGTTTAACTGGTGTTTAATCTTGTGAGTAAAAGATAAACGTTCACCGTCTGTATGGAATAATTTATTATATTTCTTCAAAAGTGCTTTTAAGGTCGCTTTTTCTTCGATGTTCAGGTTATTATTTTCTACGACTTCTTCGGTTTGTTCTATGTGTAGTTGATTTAATTGTTCCTTTTCTTGGTACCTTATGTTAATTCGTTCTTCTATCTCGTGAATTGGTTCCACCTTAATATGATGCAATCGGTTATAGGTTTTTAACATCATATTAGTAGGGTTGTTCACTCTAATTAATGTTTCATTGTTCGTTACTTTTACAAGCGCTTCTGGTGCTAAAGTTATCTCTTCTCCTGTTGGTAATTGTGTCTTCGTCTTTGGAAATAACGCATATCCAT